ACAATGATTTATTATATTTATAATAAATTGTAAAATTTTGCCATTTTTACTGTTTAGAGAATTCATTTCATTAAAAAATATAAGTTATATTGAGAAAAATAGTAGATTGATTGGAATCAGAGCTGGCAATGTTCCTCGGTATATGGACCATCCTCTTCGTTTTATTATCTGAAAACTCGACTGGTAAGCACTCTTCTGGATACATCGTAGCGTCGCTATCTAAACGGTCTTAAATTTTCCATGACCAGGAGAGTTCGGCTTCTCCTAATAGACGAGGCCACTTGAATGTTGAATTTTGAGGATTGATTTTATCTTCTCTTGCTCATCTGTAATTTCTGTAATGTGATTAAATTTAATATTGCTGCTTTTAAATCTCGCTTTGAATATTGTTGCGTATCATTTTTAAACCTGAGAAATGCGTGACAAAATTTGAAAGTTTCAAATTGAAACATTTCCAACACGACGTTGAAATGTAAATAATAAGTATTCTCTAAGTAAAAAGTAATACAAAGTAATACTCTAAATAAAAAATACTTGATATATAAACACAAAAAATCGGAAAGTATTAGAGAGACATATATATTCATAGTTCGTTCTTATTTCAAGTGTTAATTGTATATTTTAATAATTATACTAGAGAGAGACTCAGATTATTAAAGTTGAGTAGAAGAAATTGATATAATTATTTGACTGATCTATAACAATGCTGATATATTCTACTCAAAAAGATAAATGAAATTATTTATTGGTTGAATCTTTGTCGGTAAAAAGATAAGAGTTTCTTTTTATCTTCACCTTTCTTTTTTTCTCGTACCATCGGTGATTAGATTTTCAGAAAGTAATTTTTTTTGCCACTAAATATCAATTGCAATCTAAAAACTTTTATTAGCACTCGAGTTACAAGAATTTAAAATAGAAAAGTGCATAAGGATATCTTCTAAAACTTAATGGGTTAAGATGGTAATATGGCTTCAGTTTACGATATTTTAATACTGTACTTAAGATGGTCTTAAATATAAGCACGGACAATGAATACTGGCCCTAGTATATAATCCGCATTTACAAAAATATGCATGGTCCTCTAAAGTCAATTAAAAAGCAATAAAAAGTTCGTGATATTCTTATATGTTGAATTGATGACACATTTATATATCGTATAATGCTACGTATGTAATGCGTGAGTTAAAATGAAGCAATAATGTATAAAAATAATACAGTAACTTTTATCGGCCCCCGATTTGTCTGCCAGAAAAATGTTACACGATATCCTTTGGTTCTGGGAATGATGACCTAACTTCCGGCTGTTGTTGCGAATTCTTGGCACTGGGTGAATTATAGACATAGTTGCTTTGAGAAAACGCCGTTTTATTCTTCTCCTTTTTCATGTTTTGTTTATTCCTGCGTAAACGTGGAGTACAAACATTTATAACGGCAACCGTGAAACAATAACTCATCGCGATAAAATAAATTGAAAAATACGCCCAGCAGAAAATAAACGCGCACAATACTAAATTGTTGAAGTAAAGTTTTACGCCTCACGATTATAGAAATGGAAATGTAATATGTCGAAGTGTAATTTCGCGATAACAATGATCGTCTCAGTTCTTTTAAAATATCAGTACGACCATTTTATTAACAGAAATTTATCATAAATCGTATTTTTATGATATATTTATAGGGTATTTAAGAAAACCATCTAGCATTTATGTAGTATAGTACAATGAGAAACAAAAATGAATTTCTTTTCTGATAGTAGTTATATATAGGTAGAGATGAGCGCGCCATTCGTGCGTCATCATCGCACGTATTAATCTTACTATTCAATAGTATATAGACTACATACTACAACTATAAATCTACACCGGTAAAAAGAACTCATTTTTGCTCCTCATTGTACCCCATCATCATACTGAATAAAAAAATCTTAATGAACATAAATCGAAAGTTGATATATAAATATTTTTGTATATTAGCGTTATGAATGACTTACTGGTTTCTATGTCTTGCATATGATATTCATCTTAATATCCTCATTCCGTACGTATATTTAATACAGAAGATTTTACCGGCAATCAGTTATTAGTAGTGTAATCATCAAATATGTAGAACCACAATCGATTGATAACAATTGACTAATTGCTGATATATAAATCTTTTAAGTCATTCTTGATGCTAACATAAAAGTGCTTATATCTCAAAAATAATTAAGCTTTCAACTATGTTCACTAAGTCTTTTAATAAAATTTAAGATAGACCTTATTATAAAAGATATGATGATTTTAAAAAAGAAGAATATTTTGTTTTTTTAAATAAAGTATGCATTTTCAGATAGACTTGTATGTCACTGATATGCAAAAATTAATTGATTGAAAATTTAAAACCATTTTATGATTATTTATAAAAGCAAAAACATTTACATTAAAGTAATTATAAAATTTATATTATGTAATGATTAAATATTCTTAAAGATAAAACAGATGTATTTATGTCAGACGAGACATAATAATTTCGAACAGTACATATATAATTATTGTCAACGTTGAGCGATTGTCTTGAGGGCATGGAATTGCGCATCTCATATGTGCAATCAGTCCTCAGGGCCGCCACGTATTCATAAGTGAGAATCCTTGATACGCTTATATTACGCAGCACGAACAACGGAGTCAATAGGTCAAAGGTGCATGGAAGACGCGATCAACGGGAGACCGGTGTAATAAGAGAGACAAAGAAAGAAAGAGAGAAAGAGAGAAGAAGGGATACCGCGTGTGCGTTCCTAAAAAAAAAAGAGGGAAAAACGGATAAATCGATTGACTAAATTAGTGCTGGACTGGAAACGAGGCGCGCTAAATAGACGTGTAACAACTGAGTTTAACAGCAAGAAGAGACTCTCTCTTACACTTATATACACGCAAGCGCACGCTTGTGAGTACGCCAGACGGTTTGCGATTCTCTGCTATCGACAATCAATCGCTCTCGCGATTTAACGATGTCGATTAACGACTCCCGATACGACGAGACATCGTTGTTCGATTAAGAAAGAAAGTTGTCTTCGTACAACGGCTTGGCGTGCGGCCAAGCACGACAAGATTCGTCGCTTTTGTCAAACTGCTTGCACCCGAAGTTGACAACATATCTATTCTGACGGCGATCGTGTTGCCCTTTCGAGCATAATGAGGTTTGCAAACGCAGCCTACAAGCAATCCAGAACTCAGAGTGGTTATCTCGTGACGGTATTGACTGGAAGAGGTAATCGAAATGTTGGAGGAATTGTCACCACCCGTCTTTTGCAATTCTCATAAAATGAAACTGGATAAAATACTGAATGTTTTTGCTAATAAAAATTCTAGTGCCATTTGACTATGACATATTCATTATAAGGACGTATTTTAATTCACATTTTGAAGAATCTCAAGAGAAATTATATAATCCCTGAGATGTGCTGCATGAAAATCCAAGATATAAACACGAAGAAGCAGTTGGAAATTAATATAAATTTGGAGCGCGTGAAAATTATGTCACGAGCACAGTGGAAATCGTGAATTCTCTCGAGAACATAACAATCCTTTTGCCTGTCTTAATAAATCGCGACATATGTACGAGCGAACACACAGGCCGAACGTGCAAGTTTGCCTAAAATCACCAAAAAGTCAAGCATTACGAAAATACGATGAAAATTTATAGATCTCCGACTGCGCACTATTTTTCGATTGTTCTCTACAGATTTATTAAAATTATGGTATTGTCTTGAGTTACGTCACATGTAGAAATAAAAAAAGTAATCGTAAACAAAATGAAACGTAAATAGCTATTAGAAAGAGCAGACTGCTCGAAAATTAAATAAATGTAAAAAAAAAAAAGAAGTGGAACATTTTAATTATTTCTCATAATCGATAATCATGGGCTTCACCTGCGTGCGCTCTCGATGATCGAGCACTCTGATTCTTTCGAGAAATTGCACATTCGACCATCCAAGTGGATAATATACGGGTTTGAGGCCACGGCCGCCTCGAATGACTCTCCAGCTGGAACAAATTTCATAGCTGTTTTTTCACCAGAGTACAAATCTTTCGAGGACTGCAAGCATTAAGATAATTGCGCAACGATTCCCCAACGACAAAAATAATTGATGGTCTTAATATTTTTTGGGCTCTGTGCATTCATTGTTATTATCTTTTTACGCAATTATCTTGACCATTCCACAGATGACTTTAGAAATTTTTCGAGAAATCTTTTTTTAAATGTTTCTATTTTTTTCAAATTAAGAACAAAAGGATATAGATTTTATATAAGACAATTCTTTGTTATTAATACCGGTAAATCCAAAATTATTGTTTGATACATCAAGAGATAAGGCTTCGAGTTCCACGCAACCGGAAGAGAGTACCTCGGCCAACGCTATACCGTCTTCCGGACCCAATTCGCAGCCACTGATATTCAATGTTTCCAAAGTTTTATTTCTTACCAGAACTGAAAATGATGAATTAATTAACAAGGCATATAGAAATTTCTTATAAATGAACGATATTTTTGCAAAAAATTTATTATAACCATTATAAGTAATATAAAAATATACATATATGTATAAATAGATTATGAAAATAAAACTATCCTCGAAGTAAGCACTATTTATAAATGTTAAATTCTATCTTGCATAATATATATTCTGCATTAAAGTAATACAACGACAATACATTCTGTCATTTCTGATATTTTCTGTTTATATGATTTTTCAGATAATCTAAGCATTAAGCAAAATTTTACATCTAAAGAAACGATCAGGGTCGAAGATTAGCAACCTATTTTCTGGAATTTTTTTATTCATAAACGTAAAAAACAACTGGGCTATTATTTTATAATGAGCACGTATGTATGTATATCTTCGAAAAATTGCAGTGATTTTGTATCTGTAATAGGTGTTATTGCTCTATCATGTATTTTTATATGGGAATTTTAGTCACGTTTTATACGTGTTGTAACATCCTATTTGTATGAACGTGCATGCCACGATCTCCTATTCAGCTTGCATTTATTTAAATAATTTAACGTGCTGCTTATGCCACTTTCGACTTGCGAGTCGATTATATTCTTTTTTTTTTACTATGCTAATATTCGAGATTACATAGAATTTTGTGCATTCAGTTTTTGAAAATCAGTAGTAAGCAGTGCGGCTTCGTCATCATAGCTTTTATTCAGTTCATTAAGACAGTTATACGCGATATTTTAAAATTCAAGATAATGATATCTTTTAATCTTAATATTTTAGCTTTAGATGCACATTTTCATATTTTTAAGAGTTTTTGGACAATAAAATTAACTCAGACGAATTTGGCAGAGATATTTGACAGAGAAGTAAATTCTATTATCTTCTTTGGAGAGAGAGAGAGAGAGAGAGAGAGAGAGAGAGAGAGAGAGAGAGAGAGAGAGAGAGAGAGAGCATTTATTAGTGTTTTAGGGCAGAGAAGGGAGGGGAAGGGGGGGGATTCTCTTTCATTACCGTCATAAAAATTATATATTCAGAAATACAAAAAATCTTTATTTCAATTTTGTTATTGATCTGTATATACCTATACATGTATATTGATAAATTTAGAAAGAGAAAAATTTTTTGAAAGAGAAAACAATGCTAGAAATACGAAATCCATGATATTTCCATTATTCGACGAAAATGTAACACATCCGTATATTAGTACCCGGAATAAAGTAGTACTGCACGCAACATTAAATTTCAATTTATCTCGACGAGTTTTATATTACTCGGGCACTGAATTCTGTAGAAAATATCATTGGATAATCTCCAGAGTAATGCTGCATTTTTCCAAACAAATAAAGAATTATTTATCTTGATAGCTCATTCCAAGTTAAAGAAAGAGAGAGAAAAAGAAAAAATGTGTGAGAGAGAGAGAGAGAGAGAGAGAGAGAGAGAGAATTGTTTGTGAAATCGTTTATTTCATAAGTTAAAAGATACATATCTCACATTTTGATATATTTTGAAGAAAGTTTTCGACATTTTTAAATATTTCTTCAAAAACTCGTCAATTTCTTCATCATGCAAAAATTAGATCTTAGTGTATAGAAAGAAATAGTTTACATATTAATCTTATTATTAGTTTATCAGAAAATCATATTAAATAAAAAAAAATTTGAAATAATAAAAATACAATTTAATATCTGGACAGAACTGAGAAATGTGAGTTTTGCTTTTGGTATTATCAACGAAAAACGATACTATAATATGTTAAACTTACGAGCGCATATGTGATTAGCTCCTTCACTTTCCAAAGGATTCAATCGCAAATCCAAATGTTTTAGAGCTGTTGAGCTAGCTTTTATTAATCCGTAAACGATACCGGCAACTCCATCTGGTCCTATATTGTTATTTGCCAAATGCAGTATCTTCACATTCCGGTGCATTGACAGAAATTGGCTCACCGCATGTGCACCGTTATCCATCAATTTGCAATGCGACAGATCCAATTCCTCGATCTGCATCCGAGATAATTGAAATAATATTGTATGCAGCGATAAAATTCTTTGTTAACACGTTGCCTGTTAAGCGAATTTTGTATGTTTTATCGTGTACGATATAGTACAATTTTTATTACTGTAAGCAAAGACTGAAAAAATATGTAACATAATTATTATATACTATAAGTATATAAGTATTGTGTCAAATAATTTTATTATATTATATTTTTTATTTTATATTATTTAGTTAATTGTTTCATGTAAAATTATATATTATTGCAGATTGTATTTATTTTTTACAAGCGTTTACAAAAATTTTAATATCGTCAATCACAGAGAACCATAACGCGTTAAAAAAAAAGTTGCTACGAGATGTACTAGATACACTACACTCTCTATTTGTAATACGTTACACTATCTACATATATAACTTTGTTATCTAGTAGTAGAAACAGTTAAGCTGTTCTTATATGTAGATATTACAGGAATAATATTCAGCGGATACTGCTATATTTTATCATTTTACTGTTAGAAAGCATTAAAGCGTATAGTGCTTATGCAGTCACAATGTTAGCGTAGCTTTTAGTAAAGTTGTACTTTTAGTTGCACTTTTTTAAGTTCTTAATCGAAAATAATATGATCTGTGCTTTTAGTCACATAATGATATATTGACTAACATTATCATTCGATACCATCCCTTGAAGAATAGCAGCGACTCGGGGCTGATCCAAGTTGCTTCGGGTTAGACTGAATTTCTTCAATTTCGGGCTGGCTTTAATTCCTTCCCCCAGACTTAAACAATCCTCCAACGAAAATCTGTACGAATGATGAATGTTTTATCAATCATTTAACGTTGGGATTCTCTTCATTTTTACGCTCACTGAAAACTTCCGACTCACTCAAAATCTCGCCACTCGAAACCGTCATTCATGTAGATCATACCGAAATTGAGATAAATCTCGGTGAGATGCGGGAATTGTGGAAGTATAACAGCCATGGGAATGTGATGCACGACGTCTTCCTCTAGGATTAATTCATTCTCCGTAGTTTGCTGTTTTCTGCCGTATCCAAACCACATATATGAAAAACGCTATTTTGTCGGTAATTGATTTTCATTCAATATCACCGGTTAATTAAAAGTCAAAAGCAATATCTTTTAGAAATTAATTACGCGTTTATGATAAAACTGTGCTTTAACACACACACACACACACACGCGCGCGCGCACGCACGCATACACTAAAGCGGAGCTTGATAATAACATATTTAATTATAAACTTAATTAATAAAGTTTAAAAAAAATGTAGAAATATATAAAATCAAATTTTTTATTTTTATTTTAATTGCTTCGCTTCGAACGAAATATTGCGAAATGCTACGAGTGTAAGGATAAAAAATTTTGTTTTGTGAGTTTTTCATTTTAATTCCATCTTTATACATATATTTTTTATCTTTTTCATATTCATATATATTGGAATTTTTTTTTCGTATTATATCTGTACTATAAATTGATTCGCGATGAGATACTAATTTTTTAATATAAAAAAAAATATTTTATCCTCGGTAACGTATTGCAGAAATCCACATGCAGGTAAAAAAATTAGTTGGGATTGTTACTTAACGGTTTATCCGCGAAACAGTTGATGTATTTGAGTGAGTCGTGACTCTGATCAATATTGGACGATGGATTACATTGCACAAACTACATCGCATATGTAGAGGCCTAGTTACATGCTAGTCGCTGTGAATAATTGAAGAACGCGTATACGCGCCGGATCATTTTAACTGCTAGATATATGTTAGATATGTTGGATGTGCTAAATTGATATACAAAATGGAATTCCATATAATAAATTTGCACGTGCATTGAAAGACGATGCTGACAGTTTATGTGTATTAATTAGTGTACAACTGTATGATTGCATTTGTCGCAGATAATTTGCGTTGAAAGTATACTTCATTCTTTCATTCCTAAGGTATTTAGCAGCTAAAAATATTTTTATGTCTATTAATATGTCTAGTAATGATTATTATGTCTAGTAATGAACAAGAAATTTCTAAAAATATTTTGACATTTTAAAAATTGCAGCTAATAATTGACATTATAAAGTTATAGAAACTTTTAAGTCTAGCTATATATAAAATTGTAAGAAGCTTTTATATATATATATATATATATATTCACAGATGCGAAAAAATATAAAAATATATTTTATCTTATAGTTCATAATACGTAGTTATATAAATAAGAACGAAAGAGTTAAAACAACGAATTTTTAAATCGAAAAATTTGAATAAATATTTATTTCTAAAAAATATATATATTCTTATGTAAAGAAATGTGCATATTTAGTAATTTAAACATTACTACGTGTTGCTGATCATATATTTTAAAAAATATTAATCACAACATTTATATATTTTTGTTAAATTATTGAGACAATGAGATTGAAAAAAGAAAATTTTCATACGTCAAAAATTTTTATAATAAAGATCATTATAATTTAATAAATTAAATATTGTTAGTATTAGTTGTGTTAATATTAATTGTTTAATAAATAATGTGATATTAAAAGAAGAAATAGATAAAGCTGACAGATCATGATGAAAGGATCTTTTCCCGTAATCCGAATAAAAGTAAAGATAAATCTTACAGCGGATTTACGGATTGCTTGGAAAGGGAGTCCAGTGTGATATGAGAGAATTACCTTTTCAAAGGTTTCTCTTTCTCGTTGCTTCTTAATTAAAAGAGACTATGATTTTTAAATAGGACCCGTAGCAGTTATCATCGCGGAATGATAACATTTCCTTGACTCAACGTAGCACTTTTGAAATTATCAGTGATCGCAAGAGCAACATTCACAAAGAGAGCTCTAAAAACGCTTTTATGCAAATGCTTAGCATCTTATCGTGCATTTTTTCAGACATCTCTCTTCGTTTGAATGAGATACTAGTATGAATTCATCTTAGACATTCATCTTAAAATATGTGAAAGTAACATTATTAATTCTTAAATACCTTTTCAGTATAACATATCCAGTTCTATTGTATTTCTTAACGTCTGGCGTTAATTAAAAATAACAATAAACAATATTGTTTACAATATATTTATTTTTATGAAAATTATAAGCAATTGAATTGAATTGAATACACTATATACAGTGTATTGTTTCCAGTGAGGTGTTTAAAGAGACCCTATAGTCGTCTGTTTTTTATCGACTCAAATTTTCGTATGCATTTTCATATAAAATTAAGTTAACTAAGGCTGACACACGTTTAAGCAAATCTGTCAAATATACTTGCGGAAGCTGCTTGTATAAAATGTGTCAGAAAACCGCACAGTTATTTTGACTTGCATAAATGACTTTCCATTTATAATAAGTTCAATCAGGAAATGAAAACTTCATGTGAACTTTTTATAAAGTTCATAGAATCGTGCCATATAATAACGCTTTTTCCGCATTAATAATACTGCAAAATTCACGTTGTGAAAGTTAATTAATTCTCTTTTTTTTTTGTATGAGAACAATACAGGCGAAACCATTCTGCTCGTTCTGCCTAGGATTAGTTTTGCAAACGTGATCGCACGACTCTTTTTACCGCCCTCACGTTTACCTGTTCCAATTTCATTACAACGGCAGTAAGGGACTATCTCCTGCCGACTGTGCGGCCGTAACTATATAAATTTGCTTTACTTTTTAAACAGCACCTCCATTCTCAACAACATTTTATAATGCGGTCTCAAAAGAGTTGGAAATGAAATGGAACTGAAACGATGTTAACAATTCCTCTCATAACGTATGTCCATGAGTATATCGGCACTTTTTGAAATTGCTCCAAAAATTGTGCATGTGCATTCTCATGCGAAATTAAATAACTCAGGAAAAGCTTTCAGAGCTTTTGCAAATTTATTGTCGTTATTATGCACAATATCATTTAGAAATATTATGCATGTATATTCTCATACTATAATTTTTAATTATATATATATATATAAATATATATAAT